TGCGAAAACGGAAGGTATTTAGTGGTACGATGATTCCAGCCCCATTTACTTTGTGATAACTTCTAAAAAGAAGGAACTTTTGCAATTTTCACATTGAATGTTGTTGTTTGTGAAAGAACACACCGGACTTATGCTGAAGGATTTGATTTTTGAATTTTTTCTAGTACTACTGGGATGGACGAAGCGCAGGCTGATTTCGCACTGAATTTGCTAAGATCAGTAGCGACCGGCGACGAACCGGCTGTGATATCGCCGTTTTCGATAGCCGTAGCCTTAGCAATGACTTACGATGGAGCACAGGGTACGACAAAAGAACAGATGACAAACGTGTTAGCCAAAGGTAAATTCTTAGAATTTCTAGAACGTTACACAAGTGCGGGATTCTTTTCCTGCTTTGAGTAATGCTGCACCGATTGCTGGTTTTGCTCACCTGGTTACCATGTAGAAGATCCGAGCCTCGATATCAACTGCCTGTCGGGATGCATTTCATGGTTGAAATTGGCACCAACGTGACAAAGACACTAGGCTGCGTAAGATCAAGAATGATTATTTATGATGACTAAAGTGAGCCGTGGTAGTGACAGTTGAGTTGACAGCAATCTCTTTGATAAATGTTTATTCATACCGGGACTGTCCGAGCACTCAGTGTGTATCCCGTGTTAGTGATATTATTGGCTAAGCGCAGCTGTGTCAGGCCACTGGACTCTAGGTTGTGTTTTATTGCTACTGAATATTAAACGATAGTCGCCCGCTAGATTTCCAAGTGAATGCCATGGTAACACTGAATGCTAAGGAGAAAAGATCCCAGTAATTTCAGGACAAAGCGCAAAGCAGTTTGATGATTATGTCTATGCACTACTCAGTGATATTGGAAAGAAGAACAAAAGCTACACGCTAGATTCGGCAAATCGTTTGTACCTCGGGGAAAAATTTGTTTTAAAAGAAGCTTATCAGAAAATCATCCAGACTCACTATGCAGGACAATTGCGGCAAGTGGATTTCAAACAAGTGGAAGCCATTGTTAAGGTTCATAATGAAGTTTGAAGTCAACCAAACACTTGTGTTTTTTTTCACATATAATTTGATCATGCATAAAGGCGAGTATTTGGGAGGATGCGATTTGGCACTTGTGCCGGTAAAATATTTGTTAGTG